CTTACGCTTTCAGCATCCTGTTAACCCATGAGTAGATTAATCATACCCCTTAGGTTCCATCTCCAAAGCACCATCAACATAAGAGCCTGAGGGATGCAGTTTCCAACACATGAGATTCGGCTCCAATGCCTGAGATTTTCAGACACGTTTCTGGTTCTGTGATGAATGTGGCTCACGTGTCCTTTTAAGAGAGTCACTATAAGCTCGAGCACCTGGACGTCTGAAGAAGTAAACATGTCATTAGGCCTTGTTTGATGTAACAGGTCTCAGTCTTAACTGCAGTGATGAGCATATCATATATTCACATATAACATTCACATTCACATATAACAGTATGTTTTAGCTTTTGAAAACATCAATTCAGGAGTAGTCAAGTTTAGCACAGGTAACTGAACCTAGCAAAAGACCTATATTTGTTTAATTGAATTGAACTTTATTTTGTGTGTATATGGTGTATGTGTGTGCACAGGTGCCTGTGGGTGTGTGCATGCAGAGACCTTATGAGTGTTTTGTTTGTGTGTATGTCTGTATACCATGTGTGTGACTGGTGCCCACGGAGATCAGAAGAGAGCATTGGATTTCCTGGAACGGGAGTTATAGATTGCTGTGGGTTCTGGGAATTGAACTCAGGTCTTCTGCAAGAGCAACAAGTACTCTTAACCACTAAGCAATCTCCCCAGGCCCATATTGTATTTTGTGAAGCAGGGACTCTTATTGAACCCGGAGCTCATCAATTTGGCTAGAAACCCTGGTCAGTGCCCCCAGGGATCCTCCTGTCTCCGAGGCCACAGCATGGAGGCTGCAGGTGTGTGCTCTTGCAGCTGGCTCTTATGTGGGTGCCAGGGAACCAAACCCAGGCTTTCATGCTTTTTTTGCAAACACCGACTGACTGAGCCATCTCCTCAGACCCAGAAAACCTAGATCTTGCTGTTACGCCATCAATTGAATCTATAATTATTGGCATATTATTTTTAACCATAGGCTCTAGCTTTCCCATGTCTAAAATGACAGGAATTTGATCTGAAGATTTGCCTCTGAAAATCCATCACTCTATCTCGTTGGCCTTAAACCCAGTGTGACATCCTAGACAGCACTGAATGTGTGTTGTGGCCCTAACTCCGTAACCAGGCCCCACCTGCTCATCTTTTCAAACAAATGTGTTGAATATCATCATCATCTCTTCTGCCACATTTCTGGTTCTGAAACATTTTCCCAGTTGGGGGAAAAAATTTGAATGCAACCTTGATGGGCTAGAGAGATGCATGCAAAAGCACCATCTGTGAAAGCCTGAGGACCTGAGTTGGATCTTAGACCCCCAGGAAAAGGTGGAAAGAGGAAACTGAGTCTACAAGTTGTGTTCTAACAACTGTGTATGGTGCCATGCACCTGCTCTCCCTCCTCCAACATCATACACAGAAAGACAGGCAGGTAGACAGACAGACAGACAGACAGACAGACATACACACACACACACACACACACACACACACAAATAAATGAAAAGAAAAGTTCTAACAGATGTGGTTCATTTCCTCCATGTAGATGTAACCAACCGCCTTATTAAATAAAAAACACAGAACCAGTGTAAAGAAGAAAGCCAAGAAGTCAGAGCTCAGAGCTAAAACCTTACCTTTCCTCCTGTGGTGGTCCTACCTCTCTGAAAGAGACCTACTTCCTGTGTGTTTGTCTTTATATAGTCTTTCTGTTCTGCCTTCTCATTGGTTGTAAACCCAAACACATGACTGCCTTGTCACTGCCTGTCTTTACAGCCCTCCAGGTCTTCTATGGTATTGAGATTAAAGGTGTGTGTCTCCAATGCTGGCTGTATCCTTGACCACACAGAGATCTACCTAGCTCTGTCTACCAAGTGCTGGGATTAAAGGTGTGCGCCGCCGCCGCCGCCGCCGCCGCCGCCGCCGCCGCCGCCACCACCACCACCACCACCTCCACCACCACCACGCTCTTGCTATGGCTCTAATAGCTCTGACCCCCAGGCAACTTTATTTATTAACATACAATTAAAATCACATTTCAGTACAAATAAAATACCACCATACCTCCATGCATAACATCTTGAGTCTGGTCACTCACTCGTTCCTTCTCAAACTTCCAGGCCAAAACCATCCGCTGTTTATTCTAAATAGTACACTCTTTAGTGTATTTTTCATAGCTTGCATTGTCACGTAGTTCCCTTTTAACCAACATTTTCTGCCTTGAAGAGAATGTTTCTCAGAGGATACTTTGGGGCTTATTTAAAGTTGTTCTGTTGTGGTAATTCCACTTTATATGCTGTTCGGTATTTACTCAGGACATTTGCATTTTTCATACTGTTGGTTATTTCTTTAGTTGTGCTCCTAAGAGTTGCCTTGGTCATTTCTCCTGAGGAATGTCTTTGTCATGTGAGCTAGGCTAGGGATAAAGAGCAGGCTCCATTCAGTGTCCTCCTGTGAACTTAAGAAACAGGAGAAGGGCTGGAGAGATGGCTCAGCGGTTAAAACCACTGACTACTCTTCCAGAGGTCCTGAGTTCAGTTCCCAGCAACCACATGGTGGTTCACAACCATCTATAATGAGATCTGGTGCCCTCTTTTGGCCTGCAGGCATACATACATGCAGGCAGAACACTGTATACACAATAAATAAATAAATAAATCTTAAAGGAAAAAAAAAAAGGAACAGGAGAAACAAGACTCCAGGTGAAAGCCACAAGCATTGCAAAATAGTGGTCCTCAGTGCTCCCCAGAGCCATCGTCATGCGGGCATCAGGCAGGTGTGCAGCTCTGGGGAGAGGAGAATACAGATCGCAACATACTAGCTGTGGGAATGTGGAGGGCGGGGAGAATGGATGTCCGAGGCTGGCCAGTTAGGAGGTGTCTGTTTTTATTACTGCTCTTCTAGTGGGGCCCTGGTATGCTTTGGATGAGACTACACAGATCCCAGGTGACTTGAGCTGTTCTCCACATCAGTGGCTGTGGTCCCTAGGACTTCTCTTCAGGGAAGAGGGGAAGAGGTTAACAAGAGCATCATTGAAAAGCCCTGTACTATATCCCAGCACTGCTGGCTTCAGACACTGCTGGGTCTCCTGCAGGGGCTTCTCGTGGACTTTACACATCTGCCGTTTCTCCAGGGTTGAATTTAAGAGCAAGGGAGGAACTAGCTGGTGCTGATCACCTTCTTGTGTGAGGTCCCTATAATAAGGGATGGCATTGGCCTCCCTCATGATCCTGTCCAAAACGATTCTCCAATTCTTTTGTGCTTAGCAGCTCTTTTAAAACAAGTCACGGGAGGATGACAGTCTGTGGGCGATTTTGGAGTCCCTCAAACGACAGCTTTCCTAATTGTAGCATTGACTTGCTGCTGTTCAGCTGAGAAGATAAGCTTTTGCTCATCAGTTGAAGATGACAGGTGTGAGAAGGGAGGGGCATGGGATGTAGGATAAATGCTTAAACGTCCCTCTAGTTACATTTTATCAGAGTAAGACTCTATTGTAATAGTCACCTCTAGCAGTGACAAAGTTCTGGACATTTTTAGTGAATCAGTATGGACTCACGGAACTTTATCTATCCAATATTCACAACCATCTACAGCCATTATTCTTTTCCACACCCTGTTCATCACAAGTTTGGCTGGTGGAGCAGTTGGAATCTATAACTGGGGTAACCTCCCATCTTCCTGTTCCTCTTCAATTGTTCCTTTACTTTCCAATTCAATAAAACACCCGGGACATACCTTCTACCCTCCCCCCCCTTTGATGTCGGATCAGCTATTTCTCCATGATGCCCCAGCTCCCTCAGGGGGGTGGTGTGGATGGATGAAGGCCTGGTTGCATATTGCTGATCTGTACTCTCAGACCTCGGAGAGTGCCATTTTTCTGAACTCCCCATCCGTATTGATATTTCCAATGACAACTTTCCCCTTCTGAGCATTGCAAAACTCCCGTGAACATCTCATCCCCTAGCTTTGCCCTTTAAACTTTTATATGGTTTATCTTTACTCTTCCTGTCATCTCCTCAGGGTACCAAAGCTATCAAAACACTAAGAGGCATGAACTCTCCTCTAAACCACTCAGCATTGCGTCAGGTGGAGTGTAGACAAGCCCTTGGAGCGGAGCTTTGCAGGGAGCCACTAGCCAGGTGGAGTAACGGCTTCTCTTTGGGAATGAGACTATGAAAGAGCCTTACTCTTTGCTACTCTCGCCAGCGCTTGGAACATGGGCTCTTAGTTTTGAAGTTGCAGAGACCAGGAGCGTGGTAAATGAGCCTAGGGTAAGTTAGCATCTCAGGGTGTGTTGTCATCGATGAAATTCAGCCTGTTTTTTGCAGAGTCCTGTGGGTTACTGCAGGTTTTTAGTTAATACCCAAAGTGCTGAAAAAGAATTGGTTTGGGCATTTTATTTATTTATTTATTTTTTTGTGGAGCCAATTTTTACCTTGATTTTGATGGGGGTGAGAATTCTTCCAGCCTTTCCTCTGCCTTCATCAATGGCTAGATAGGGTTAGTGCCTATCTTTCAAGGCTGTTGTGTAAGTAAAATGAGGTGCCAAATGCTCCTGTGAATTTTTAATGTCATAAGACAAACAAATAAACCTCCCCAAAACCACCCTCCCAAAAAACCAAAACCCAAACCTAAAAACCAAAAAACCCAGCCAAAATCATTGTTCTAGAATTAGATAGTAATTGTCCAATCGATGCATGTCTTTGTGTACCCTGTGCTAGATTAATAAGTGCATGCCACCATGGTAGGCAAAAACAAAACAAAACAAAACAAACAAACAAATAAATAAAACAAAACAAAACAGATTGTGGGATCAAACTCAGGCCCTCACGCTTGCAAGTCAAACACTTTACTGACTGGGCCGAATTGAAGGGGAATGTGTTTGCAACAATGAGTTTGATGTGGTTAGATGCTTGGGCTATTTCGTGGTTTGACCTCTCTTCTCCTTCCCCTCCCCTCCCCTCCGCATCAATAAAGACTCTTAACCACCCTCTTCTTCCATCCTAGAACATTTATTTACTCCTTGCTCACCAGAGGGAGGCCTTTCCCAGTGTTATTCTTTCTGAGAGCCACCGTCTTCTGCATAGGAAATGGATTTCTTCAAGCCCACTATCTGATTTACTGCGCAGAATACCCTCAGGACTGGTACACAGATGTCCGGTTTAGCCTGGGTAAGTGAATCTGACCGGCTCCCCTCCCTTCCCAGCTAACACCAGCCCCACAGTGACAGTCACCACTGTCCCTTCTCATCCTCCAGCAGCCTCTTCACCAACTCCTTTCCCACTCAGGACCCTCCTCTGGCCTTCTCCCCAGGAGGCAGCCGGGGAGAACACTTAAATGTATGTCGTGCCGCCTCCCATCTCAAGACGGTCTAGTAGATTTCTACCGCTCCGACGATACAGACAGGTTCCACTGCCTATAAAACCCAAATGATTTGGGGCGTTCTGACTTCAGCAGTTCTTCCTGCCCCCTTTCACCCCGTTTTTCTGGGCTAGCCCTAGAAGCCTTGCTCCTGGGATTCAAAGAGTCAAACCTGTTTTGTCCCAGCGATTCTGTCCAGGACATTCCCCGTTCCGACTGGTGTGGCTCACTGAGCTTCGAGGCTTATGCCTCTCCCTTGCTTCGTTCATCTCCCTACCAATTTACCCCTCCTCGAAGAGGCTTTTCCTCAACACCTTCCCTGAAATAATTGAAGACATCGGTCTTTAAAAGTCTCTCCTATTTCCTGCGGAAGAGGAGGTAGAAAGAGTGTAAGGGCCAGAGGGGATGGAGGACACCGAGAAAACAAGGCCCTCTAATTAACAACAGCAAAGCTCATATGAACGCATATATATGCACAGGGCCTGCACGGATCTGTACCAGGTCCTCTCAGCTTTTTTTTTTTTCTTCCTAGATAGGGTTTCTCTGTGTAGTTTTGGTGTCTGTCCTGGAGCTTGGTCTGCAGTCCAGGCTGACCTCAAACTTACAGAGATCCGCCTGGCTCTGCCTCCCGAGTGCTGGGATTAAAGGCGTGTGCCACCACTGCCTCGATCCTCTCAGCTTTTATTTTGGCTTCTGGTTTAGTGTTTTTATGGGACTCTTTTTTTTTTTTTTAAATTTATTTATTATGTATACAGCATGTATGACTGCAGGCCAGAAGAGGGCACCAGATCTCATTACAGATGGTTGTGAGCCACCATGTGGGTGCTGGGAATTGAACTCAGGACCTCTGGAAGAACAGTCAGTGCTCTTAACCACCGAGCCATTTCTCCAGCCCCTATGGGACTCTTAAGTGTGCAAACCACTGGGTCTCTGATTCTTGTGCCTTCTCTTGGGCTCTTCTCCTTCTGTTGGTTTGTCTTGTCCAACTTTGATGTGGTAGTTCTTGTTTTATCTCATTATATTTTATTTTATTATATTTTAAAATGAATGAATGCATGAGTGAATGAATGAATGAAAACCAAGCCACTAGGGTAAAGGTTAACAACTGAATTGTCATTTATATCTGCCGGGAGAGGGAAAATCAGTTTTCTCTAATGGAGTGACACTGGGTATATCAACCACTCCAGGACAGGCTTCATGTTTAGGAGTAGTTGATCAACATATAATGGACTCCACAGTTGTTTTTTATGTTTTTTTGTTGTTGTTTTGTTTTTTTGAGACAGGGTTTCTCTGTGCAACAGCCCCTGGCTGTCCTGGAACTCTCTATGTAGATCAAGCTGGCCTCGAACTCACAGAGATCCGCCTACCTCTGCCTCCCAAGTGCTGGCATCAAAGGCATGCACCACCATTGCCTGGCTTAGAGATCGTTCTTAATCCTTATTAATATCACCTGTCACATTCTGCCTATTGGCTTGCTACTTTTGACTTTCTTCAGAACCAGTCTCTTCAGGCTCTCTTCTCCCTAGCTGTATTAGCTTTGGCCTACACCAAGCCACAGTTTCGTCTAGCCTGGGTGTCTGATGTCAGTAACCTCTACATTGAGAATCCTGATCCTACATCTCCATCCTGACCTTTAGCCCCTCCCTTCTTCATGGTGTAGTCAGAGTGAACATTCAAAACCCACAAAGAGCCAGAGAGTTCACTGTGAAATACTGCTACACATGCCCTGTAGGGTGTTGTCTGGCCACCAAACAAGGAAATGGAACAAAACATCAAAGAAGGAAGAGCTCTGGGATAAATAAGAATAATTATGGGCTGGGAGATGGCTTAGCAGTTAAGAGCACTTGCTGCTCTTCTGGAGGACCTAAGTTCAATTTCCAGCACTCATGTTGGGTGACTCACAACTACCTATAACTCTAGCTTCAAGGGGATCTGAGCCCTTTTTTGGCCTCTGCAGACACATGTCTGTCTGTCTGTCTGTCTCTCTCTCTCTCTGTCTCTCTCACACACACACAAACACAAATATATAAAAATAAATCTTAAAAAATTAAAAACAAAACAGTTGGGCAGTGGTGGCACACACTTTTAATCCCAGCACTTGGGAGGCAGAACCAGGTGGATCTCTGTGAATTCAAGGCCAGCCTGATCTACAGAGTGAGATCCAGGACAGGTACCAGTACTACACAGAGAAATTCTGTCTTGAAAAACCAATAAATAAATAAATAAATAAATAAATAAATAAACAAACAAATAAATAAATAAGAACAAGTGTGAACACTTGTACACTATGATTTTTTGTGTATAAATGTATATAAATGGAAAACGCGCACGCGCGCACACACACACACACACATGCACACACACACACATGCACACACACACACACACACACACACACACTCATGCATGCATGCACAAGCACACAAGACAATAAAAAGGAAGAAAATGCACTAAAGAAAAGTCCCCCAAATTGAGAGAAGACACACCAAGTACTTACATACTGAACTGCTAATGTGACCACACTGGAAAACATTGTAAACCAGTCCACAGGAAATACAGCAGATAAAGCCATGAGCAAGTCATCTAGTCACATCTGGAAAAAGGGACAGTCTAAGGATGACTGTCTATTCTTCTCATGGTAATCTCCTGAACGAGGGACCAAAAAAAGGTTTGGTGGGGTGATATACTGTATACCCCAATAAAGCTTGTCTGGGGATCAGAGGACAAAGCCAGCCACTATATTAGACATAGAGATCAGGCAGTGGTAGCACACGCCTTTAAACTCAGCACTAGGAAGGAAGTTTAATGGCAGGGCACAGAAAGGTATATAAGGTGTGAATAAACAGGAAGTCTCTCTCTTGAGGCTGAGGATTTCGTAGAGGTAAGAATGTGACTGGCTTGTTCTGTTTCTCTGATCTTTCAGCTTTCACCCCAATATTTGCCTCTGGGTTTTTTTTTTTTATTAATAAGACTGTTTAGCAATTTGTGTTATAATCTGGGCTAGGTAAAAAAGTCCCCGAATGACACCAAAAGCCAGGAGTGGCACCCTCTGATCTTGGTTTATACAAACCACCTGTAAGAGGCCTTTGGGGGACATCTGAAGGGACTGGAGTAGGGCCTAAAAGTTGCATGATGAAAGTATTACATCAGGTTAAAAACCCAAGGATGTGCACTAAGTTGTTGAATGGTGGTGATTTGGTGTGATCGGAATGGGTAATTTGGTTTGGTTAACGTTAACGCCTAGTATTCTATACATATGAATATTACTTTTACAACAATATTAGACAGAAATAAGACTCTATTTCTCCTTAACTTAACACCTACAGATGATTTCCTGTTGCGGGGAAAAAATCCAAACCCTCTTGAAAGCTTGTAATTCTTCCACCCCGCCTCCCAACAACATTCATTTTTTTTATTAACCCATTACCTTGAGTATAATATTTATATTTAACCACAAATAATATGGAGTCACTTTTTTTTTTTATTAAAAAAGTTTGTTCTTTGACAATTTCATGCATGTGCGTGTCAACTTCCAGCCTTCACAGTGGGGCATGACAAAGAAGAGAGTGTATGAAAGGCCACTCCCACCTTCTGAAGGGTTCTTATGAGAGAGGAATAAGAAAATATTAGATAGAGAGACACAGTTGATGAGAAGAAAGACAGAAACACAGGATAGCTTCAGGAGGGCCTGGATCACTACCCAAATGGCCCTTTCTGTTTATTCAAAAGAATGTTTTATAACAATGTCAAGGGGCAGGGGAAAAGACCTTCCCCTTGCAAGATCAAAGCACACTGCACAGCCAAGTGCAGACCCTTCCAAACACCTGGTAACCACGCCCATGGTCAAATCGTCCACCTATGCCGCCCTGATGGGTAAGGAAAGTTCAGATTCTTGGACCCTGAGTAAGTTCTCACTAGGAAACCTCTGTGGGTCTTGACAGAGTGGAACTGGCCAGTGGATGAGCCAGCCAGCTGGTCTTTTGTGAATGAGCCAAGTGTTTGCTTGCTGTTACTCACTATTGATTTATGACGTTGGTTTATTTGACACACACAATGCTATTGCCTCCTGCTTGCCCCACTTTTCCACCTCTGTCCATCACATTTCACTGTGAGTGCTAACATTTTAACTTAGGGTCAGGACAACCTCTCCTCCCCAAAAGTTTCAGATCATATCTGAACACCATTCTTAGATTTGGCAATTAAGTGCCCCTCACTTTATTTTAAGAAAGGAAGAAAAGAAACATATCTTGTGTAAAGAATACCAAAGCAGAGTGTATCTTTTGATCTGTTTCCTCTCTTCTTTGCCAAGGTATCTTCCTATTTATTTTGGGAATGGGAATCAACATCCATAGTGACTGCCTGCTGCGCCAGCTTAGGAAGCCTGGAGAAGTCATCTATAAGATCCCACAAGGTAATGCCTCCCTGGATCCCAGAGTCCCATTCTTCTTTGAAGCCCGCCCCAGTGATTAACAAACAGGAGGGACTGCTCATGATAGATAGCACAACTATGCAATCTATACACTGTGACTTGCTTGTAGCCTCTCCTGCATACTCTGTCCCCTCCACAGAACCTAAGGAAGCTCCACAGGGCTGTAACTAAGTTGGTAGAGTGCTAGCCTAGCATGCATGAAGCTCTGGGTTCCACCCCGGCGACACTTAATTCAGGCATGGTGGTACATATCTATGATTCCAGCACTTAGGAGGGGGAGGCAGGAAGATCAGGAGTCAGGAGTTCAAGGTCATTATTTAGTATATAGTGAGTTCAAGGTTGGCCTTGTTACATGTTCACATACACATGCACACACACACACACACACACACACACACACACACACACACACAGAGAGAGAGAGAGAGAGAGAGAGAGAGAGAGAGAGAGAGAGAGAGAACCATAAAAAATCCCTTTCCCATCCCATATAGGAAAAATCATAGTAGGTGACAGAGAACACCAGGCTTGGATATAAATAGTGGAGAATAGATTACAGCCTAGTATATAAGCCTGTCATTTACACAGTGTGAGTCTCATTGTGTCAGCAATGAAGCTGAGGATTTTGTTGTCATGTGAACATCACAGTGTACTTACAAGAACCTGGATGGGGCAGGCTACTGCATACCTAGGTTATAGTGTACAGCCTATTTCGAAATTTTAAATTTTTAAGAACATTTCTTTTGCTAAAAACTAAGAGAAAAACTTATCTTAGCCTAGGACTACACATGATCACAATCATCAATATCATGTATTTTGCCTTCATGTCCACTGGAAGGTCTCTAGGGAGCAGCATGCATGGAGTGATGGTCCCCCCCCCAACTCCCAGATACAGCATGGGACTATTTTATGGTTAACTTTTTTTCTAAGATGAAAAATTATGCTCTAACAATGAATAGCATAATAAGCATGTAACCCAGAACATAGACACTTAATATAATTATCAAAGATTAAATTCTGTCTATAATTATATACTTGTACTTCTTCCTTAAAATTTAGTTTTTAATTTAAAAATTTTGTCTGGTGTGTGCATGTATGTGTGTGGGCACTTGAGCATGTGTGTTCATATTCGTGTGAAGGCTAGAGTTTGATGTCAAGCGTCCCTTTCAATTGCACTTTCATCTTATTTTGTTGATCCAGTCTCTTAATAGATTTGGCACTCCTAGATTCAGCTAGACTATCTGGCCATGGAACTCCAGATCCTCCTGTCTCTACTTTCTCAGCACTGGGATTATAGGCATGTGCCACTGTGCCTGGCTTTTATGTGGGTCCTGGGGATTGGACTCAGGTCCTTAGGCTTGCCTAGGAATGACTGGGCTTGAGCTTTCAAATCTGGGCAGTGTGCTGGACTCACACAGCAATGACTGTGGTGTTACCAGGTGGTGAACCCTTGAGGTCTGTTAGCGATGTTTGCCATCATGTGTGCAGTCTGTTGTTGACGTGTGACGTGCCGCTGTGCAGCATGTGACCACTGTTTCAGAGATCAAGATACAGAAAACTTGCAAGTGTCACTGGTCCCAAGAAACTAGGAATGAGAGTCTGGCGAATGAGCATTTGGCAATGACTCAAGTCCAGGTGCTCAACACAGGCAAGTCGAAAGTGGTTTCCACCCTTCTGAATGTAAACAGAGCCCTCATTTGTAGTAAAAAAATGCCCTGGGTTATGATATGGTGGTGTAGACTGACCACCGCTGATTAATAATGACAAAGCTGTTGTGATTAGTAATACATTTAAATGAGTAAGTATTATTCATTCCTTGTTATCTAAGGAACTAAGCTAGACCATTCATGATGTCCATAGAAAATTGGACCCTCACAAAGTCAAGGGTGTCATGGGCAGGAAGACAATGTGACACAGTATCATCCTTAAGAAAAATAACAGAATTTGATTCTTGTTTCAGCCATTTCTCTCACAGCTGGGATAGCATACTGGACAGATGTACCGTTATCTCACAGTGTCGAGGCAGGGAAGGCGAGGACACCTGGTGTTCCAGGAGGGCTCTTATCATTGGTGGCAGGAACATGGGGTTGCTTGCTTGCATCTCCATAGCCAACTAGAAAATAGAGAACTTGGGCAGGAACCAGGCCATCTATCCCCCTCTAAACCACCCCTAACAGCCTCCAAGGACCCATAGCCAAAAGTCTTCTGAAACAGTGCCACCAGCTGGGGACAAAGGGTTCACACAGGACTCCGTGGACAGCACTCACATTCCAACCGTGCCAACACTTAAAAACTTCGGCTTAATGATTAAGTAAAGATGAGCTGGGACCGTTCTTAAAAACCAGATTGCCAAGGTCAGTTTCCAACTGAGTAAGGAGAGTGAGAGAGAAGGGCCCAAAAGCACATTCTAATGTCATTACAGAAGGAGAAAAGTTGTTTCGGTCACAACTTCCCTAGTTTAATATGGCTCATAAGCCTGGCGTGTGGGTATATTTAACGCCATTAGCAATGTCTTGATGTCTAGATAGTTCTGAGAGAGGAGATATCTGGTGGGTGGAAGTAAAACATCCCAATAGCAGCAGAGCTTGTCAGCCCCAGCAGGGCGAATGGTTTCTGCTTTCAACTTGAACAGTGTTGAGTGCAGGGGGCCAGGTAGTGGAGGATCAAAGGGTCAAAAAGAATCAAATCGTTTCTCACACCTGTTCAGTTTTTGTTTCAATGAAGTGTGTTGTTTCACTTTGTGTGACTGGTGTGTACCACAAAGATCGCTCTTGGGACTTGCCAGGGAAAGGCTTGGGAAGGTAAGGCGTGACCTGAAAATGTCCTTTAAAATGGAACAAGACAAGAAGCAGGCCATATGCACCTCTTGCTTATCTTGCTCAAAGCTGGTGACCTAAGTTGTAAAGAGATCCGGACAATGCCCATCAGTAGATGGGGCCGCTCCCCAGGATTCCAGAACATTTTGTAAGGCAAGGGGCCATTGCTGCTTTGTTTCCCCTTATTTCTAAGGGATTTCTTCTAAACTCTGACTGTGGAAGGGACCTCCCATCTTACATCTGTTTACCCATCTGATGGGGGAATGTCTTTCTGTAGGCTGTGAGAATATGTTGCTCTGGTTGGTTGATAAGTAAAGTCATTTGGCCTATGGCAAGGTAGCTTAGAGGCAGGCAGACAATCCAAACAGATAGGAGGAAGGAGAAAGACAGAGCAGAGAAGACGCTGCCAGCCGCCGCCAGGAGAAGCAAGATGTAAAAGTACCGGTAAGCCAGAAGCCATGTGGCAAAGTATAGATTTATAGAAATGGGTTAATTTAAGATATAAGAACTAGATAACCAGAAGCCTGCCATGGCCGTAGTTCAAAAATAATATTAGCCTGTGTGTGTTTATTTGGGTCCGAGCGGTTGTGGGACCTGCGAGTGAGAGAGATTTGTCCTGACCCCAGGTCAGGTGGGACACAGAAAAACTTCCAGCGACACCCATCTTTGTGTATTTTGGAACAAAACACAGGAATACAGTGTCATAGAACTGCAGTTCTGAGTATTGTCTGTCTGATTCTCTGCACACAGGTGGCTTGTTTACGTATGTTTCTGGAGCCAATTTCCTGGGTGAGATCATTGAATGGATGGGCTATGCCTTGGCCACCTGGTCCATTTCAGCTCTTGCATTTGCATTTTTCTCACTTTGTTTCCTTGGGATGCAAGCTTTTTACCACCACAGGTAAACATTTTAACAGAGGCATGTCTCCGTTTTGTTTCCTGTCACTGTGATTAAAATGCCCCGTCAAAAGAAACTGAAGGAAGAAAGGGGTAATTCGGCTCACCCTTTTGGGGTATGGTCAGTCACTGCAAAGGTGTTAAGGGGGCGGGAACTCGAAGCAGGTGGTCACATTGCATTCATTCATAGTCAAAAGCAGAGAGCAAATGAATTAATGCACGTGTGCTATGCTCAGCTTGCCCTCTCCATTTATAGCAGTGCTTCTCAAACCTCTTAATGCTGCGACCCTTTAATACAGTTTCTCAGGTTATAGTGACCCCCAACCGTAAAATTATTTCATTACTACTTCCTAACCATGAATTTGTTACTGTTGTGAATCGTAATATAAATATCTGCTATGCAGGATATCTGATATGTGACCCGAAGGGGTTTGTAACCCACAGGTTGAGAACCTCTGTATAAATGATATACAGTCCAGAGTCCCTCATTAGGGAATAGTCTTGCCCATGATTAAGATGGGTCTTCCCACAGCAATGAACTTAATCAGGACAACTCCTCACAGGCATTTTCTGAGGCTATCCTTAATATAAACAGTCCCTCACAGGTGTTACCAGAGGCTTGCCTCCTAGGAGTCAAGTTGACAATTAATGGTGTCACAAGGTTGTAGCATTCACATAGTATTCTTCTCCAAATAAAAATTTAGCACGTGGAATTAGATGTGCAAACACATGAAATTGATTTCATAAAGGAAATTTGCTATAATAATGGAATTGTATGATTAAGCTCTCACTTTTAAAGCTTTTACTGAAGCTGAAATTGAGTTGGATAATGATAGCAGTAAATAAAAAATAAAATAAAATAAAATAAAATAAAATAAAAGGTTGTGTAGATAGAGGCACCAGAAGCAATGGGTGGGCAGCCATTGTACTCACCTTGTTGAGGATGTAGTTAATGAGTGATGGGAGAGAGAGAGAGAGAGAGAGAGAGAGAGAGAGAGAGAGAGAGAGAGAGAGATTTTCTTCAGTGGTGTAGCCAGTGATAAGGTGCCTATGTTCCTATGAGCAATTCTAATGAAACTCATTGAACTATAAACAAACAAACACCATGAAAATAGAAGGGACGTAGTTGGGAAGAGGGAGGGGATTAGTGGGAGTGGGAGAGGATAAGAGAGGGTAACAGAACTGAATGATCAAAGTGCGTGCATTTACATGTGTATGAAAATGTCATAATGAAGCCTATTATTATGTATAATTTACAAGTGGTAATAAAACCAAAATAAAAGATGGCTTCCCACAGTGAGTTGGTTGGTCCAGGTTTTCCATGCCTGGTGATGGTTACCACTTGCCTGGAAATGTCAGATAATGAGCCTAGAGGTGGAAGAAATGTCCATGCTTCAATTCGGTTCTCTTCCATCGTATTTCTTGATGTGTGTTCCATGGATGAGACCATTGCCAGCGCATCCCAAAGTTTCTTGGTAAGGTAAGCAGGTGAGCCCTGAGTGCTCCATCTGCTGGTACATGTTGGAACTGCAGGCATTTAAGGCGTTCCTTTAGAGGAAGGTCTTAGACCTCTTTAACCCACTAGGCCGGGGTTGAGTAGGATAAAAAAAGTAACTGAAAGTAATGTTGGGAGGAGAAGGGTAATGCATTGTTTACTTCCCCTGCTTACCTTAAAGTAGCTTTTGTAGGGAGAGAAAGCCTAGATACCAAGAAGGAACACATGGCGTACAGAACAGGGCTGAGAGCTCCTTAAGTTCTTGCCTTGGCATCTCTGTCTGGCTAATGATGTCTCTAATAGTTTTTAGGATTAAATGAGGTACAAGCTCCTTTCTTCTAAGTGGAAACTGAAACCAGTTCGGAACTATACAAAGTAGCAGTTTCCCATGACCTGTTCCTATTACCTCCTGGGTTGGAAGGGACAGGGTTTCCAGGGTTCACGCACGGCCTTTGAGAGACAGCGTAAAAGCCCTTCTATTTTAGGAGAATCTGCTGCCTATCACAAGCAGTGAGAGAATGGCAGAGGTCAGGGCATGGCCTGGTGCATAGGAGGGTCTTTGAAAAAGCATAGACCTTGAAGTACTTGGTCAGGAAATCTACCAGAAGTTTCCAGCTGGTGCAATGTCAAAACCAAATTAAGGCCATCTGGTTATATTCCTCTTGGAGGAAGAGCCAGGGGTGTCTCTTTTAATAGGACCAAGAGGGCTTTGTGAAGGTGCTCATGAAGCAAGAGCCGGCCTTGGCAGGGGAGGTTGAGCACACATGGTCTTTTCAAATCAAAGCAGTACAGGCCAGGCACTTCTGGCACATTTTTATTTATTTATTTGTTTATTTGGTCTTCCAGTTTAAGCCCAAAGCACTTTAGCAGAGTGTATTTTGTCTTTATTATGCCTCAAGGGCCTTTAGTTTTAACTAGTTAAGAGGACAACTTGGTCACACAGGGTAGAGGCTTTTCGTAAGATGCATTAATCTCCTTCGACTGCGTAAGAAATGCCCTCAGATGCATGGGCTTAGGACAAGGGGAATATCTCTCTTCAAAGTCCTGGAGATCAGAGGTTTGGCCTAAAGGTATAGGTAGGGCCATACTCTCTGGAATAGCTTGAGGAAGAATCCTTGCCTTTATTCAGTTCTAGTGGAGACTAAAATTCTTGGTTTTCCATGGTTGGGGCAAATGCCTCATTCTAATCTCTGCCAGTCTGCCTATGACCTTCCCATCCCAGGGATCTTCTTGTTTCTTTTCAGATCTATGGGACTAAGGTCCACCCTGCATTGGTATGAGCTATGTTAATTAATTACATCTGCAATGACCATAGTTCCAAAACAAGATTGCATCTTCAGGGGTTGGGAGTGAGGACTTCACTTTACCCTTTAGGGGGCAAAATCCATAGCAACCCATAGTAATAGTGGCATAGCAATCCATAGTAACAGTGGCATAGAAATCTATAGTAATAGTGGCATTCTCAAGCTTTAGAAAGGGATCTTTTCTAAAAAAAAAACTGCCAATTCTCTGAAGTTAACTTTGCCCACAGCTTTTTGTTAATTCATTTTTTTATTAGCATGTGTTAGACACAATAGTGAGCCTCATGACATTTTCATACATATATAATGTATTTTATCCTATTCATTGTTACTCTTTATTGTTTTCCTCCTGCTCTTAAACGTTTTTATCTTATTTTTAAGGGTTTATTTTTTATTCTCTAGAAGACCAACAAGTGCTCTTCACTGCTGAGCTATTTCTCTAGTCCTATTTATTTCTTTTCATGACTGAGTGAGTCTCATAGAGTTGCTTGCAAGATCCTGTGTAAAGGGGGGTGTTTACAAGAGCATGGGATCCTTGTAGGTAGCCACACCCACCAAAGAAAACATCCCTCCCTCCCCCAGCAACCATTAACTGCCTTTAGCTCCTTAGGGAGAGGCTAGCCCTGCAAACTCCTTCCTGCTAGCTATGATTACCTGCCTGTAGGTCCTAGGGGGAGGGGACCATGACAGGATATTGACAGGCTCAGTCTTGTGCTGCAGGTCTTACGCAAGTCTCAACTGCTGTAGGATCAAGAGTGAAATGGCGAAGCCACGTTCTAAAGACAGTATTCTACTTTGCTCTTTCTCCCAGCTTACACATTCTTCCAGCCCTACCTTCCATGATAATCCTTGGGTCTTGGAGAGAGTGATCTACAAGTTCCTTTCGTGGCTGAGAACTCAGCCGTTCCTTGTTCTCAGCACTTTGACTCATTATGAGTCTTTGCGGTTACTGCTGCCCACTGCAAAAAGAAGCCTCTCTGAACAAAGCTGACGGTAGCACTGATCAATGGGTGTTGTCTGAAGCTTTCCTGTGTCCTGCCCAGTCCTGTAGCTGCTTGGACCCAAGTAAACAAGAGGCTTATATTACTTACAAACTGTATGGCCTAATGGCTCGGGCTTCTCTCTAACTAGCTCTTACAACTTAACTCAGCCCGTTTCTATTAATCTATGCATTGCCACGTGGCTTCGTGGCTTACCGGTACTTTCACGTCTTGCTTCTCCTGGCGGTGGCTCACAGCGTCTGCCCCACTCTCCTTTCTTCTCCGTCTCTCCAGTTCAAATGTACCAACTAGCCTTATTCTGCCTCACCATTGGCCAAACAGCTTTATTTATCAACCAATCAAAGCAACACATATTCACAGCATACAGAAAGACATCTCACAGTACTTCCCCTTTTCTGTCTAATCAAAAAGGAAGATTTTAACCTTAACATAGTAAAATTACATATAAAAAAACCAGTTATCAAGCAAGAATTAGAGCTACAATATCTAGTCTATTTATATTTAGCAAAATTAAAGAAAATAATCTTATCATCTATCTTATTTTTGTGAGTCTAAAATTTCATATCTAATTTATCTTTTCAAATACCACTACATATGGGTGCACTCTGATGGGCAGGTCTTTTCCATTTAGCAAAACAGTTGTGGTAGCTTTCCCAGTAGGGCCTGTGATCTCCCCAGCCATGGGCTTCTGTCCAGGTTTTTATTCCCAGATGTGGATTTCCTCCTGTGGAGTAGGCCTCAGGTCCAATCAGAGAGTAGTTGGTTACCCCCATGACTGACTTGCTACTATTTCACCAGTTGCCCAAAGTTTTTGAGAGGCTCTAGCTTCCTGTAGTTTTCAGCAAAGTGAGAGCCCTTTGTAGTGAGTACTTCCTTTTGTCTATTAAAAAAAATCTGGTGACATACACACAGCATAAAATTTACCACTTTAACAACCTTCAAATGTTGAGTGATATCAAGTATGTTCATAATATTGTAAAATCATCATCACTACCTTCCAGATATTACTTTGCACTTACCTGCACATAAATGACCATCATTTCCAAGAGACAGACTGTAGGAAAGGGGTTGATGATGGGCACCTGGTCCCCAGGAATGGCCAGATGCTAAATAACTGGCTTACCTTGTTACGGCTGTGCAAACTCAACTGTTGGCCATGACTCTATTACATTTCTCATTATTCCTTCCTTTCTTGTCTTTTCAGGTTCTACCTCCAGACGTTTAAGGATTACCCCAAATCTAGGAAAGCCCTTATTCCATTTGTCTTTTAAGGAACCCCGATTTTAAGGGACAAAGCTTCTATGGGGGAACTGCCCAGCTGCTGAAACGATAAACTGTAAACTATAACTGAGCTGTGTCTTGCTCATACGTGTACATATCATGATGTGTGTGCTAACAGGTATCTTTGTTATTCCAGTTGCCTGAGGCATACTGAGTCATGCCTGCTTAACCTTTACTTCTGTCAGCCCAGGGAGCCCTAACCTAATTTCTTGTTGGAGCGTCACAGAGGCCCTTCCATGGAGACATTTTCTCCTTAGCTATTCCTTCTAGAAGCTTCCCCATTCCTCATGGTTTTTTTTTTCCATTGTATGATCTGAAGACATGTGACATTCTTCTTACTCTGTATCAATTTTGGGAAGTTCTGCAGTCAAAACCCTTTGGGCTGACCTAATGAAAAATGAAATCGTAGCATTTGCAGGAAAGTGGGTAGAACTGGAAATGATTATATTAAGCAACATAACCCAACTCAGAAAGATAAATACTGCATGTTTTTCTCATATGCAGATCCTAGATTTTAATTTATATGTATATATGCGTCTGTTTATATGTGTGTTTTCGGGGGCATATAGTTCATTAAATTAGCAAGGAGATCAGGAGAAAGGAAAAAGAGGAGAAAGAGTAGAATAGAATATGTGTGGCATGAAAGCAGAGAGAGGTGGTGGCAGGGAGGAAGGGGACCAGCAAGAGAAATGTAGGAGAACAGAGGAGATGAGGAGGGGAGGGAGATTGGCAAAAATATAGTGTGGATGAAAATGCCATAGTGAAACCCATTACTTTGTATGCTGGTTTTGAAATAAATCAACCAACCAATTAGCCAACCAGCAAAAAAAGAATGTCTGAGCTGAGGGCAGTGCTTAAAGGAGTAATTAAAAGCATACTTTTATGTATACTCACAGAGTGGCAGAGATTTACATTTTTAAGTGCTGTAGACCCAGAGCATGTCTAAATTACTTTGTACTTATCTGTACAATTATCAACATTTCCAAGAGACAGACTGTAGGAAAGGGGCTGATGATGGGCACCTGGTCCCTAGGAATGGCCAGGTGCTGATCTTCCTCTTCATTAGTTAATTAGGACGATATGAAAAGGGAGAACTTTAATAATGGAATTCCCTTCTCTGACCCATGTCCAAATGTATACAAGTGTCTTAGTCAGTGAACACTCTGATCTCCCAGGAGGTTTCACAATTCCTATTGTGTTATCATTGCTTCCTCCACACCACTGGCATGGATTTTCTTGATGGTTAGGGTTTTTTTTTTTTTTTGAACACACACAAAAAATACATAGCTATGACTGGCTCCTGAGGAAATAAAGAAATGTGTTATGACAGACATTGTAAACTCGTGTTTTTGGGAACCGATGGGAATATCAAATATCAGGGACACATCAAGTATGAGAAATTCATGCAGAAGACGACGATAGGCCGTTCACCTTGAGGAGATGTCTACAATAGTCTGAAGGATTTTGGAAGCTCCAAGCAAGTTTCTTCTGGAATTTCTTCCTTATGAGCCTTGAGACATATTTTAGAAGACGTGTCCCGGCAGGCAGTAGCTTGAACATCGGTCCCCAAAGGTCCCGATGGCAGAAGCTGAGATCTGCAAGCAGATGTTCACCTGGGCAGAAAACCTGTTTCATTTAATTCAGACAGGGTTTCACACATAGTTTTATTTTATCTTGTCTTGTATTTTAAGTTTCAAATTGTGAAAATTAGGAGGTTTCTACATAAACAGAAACCTTGACATTGTTTCTTTCAAAAGTTGGAGGGAGAGACATAGAGACAGAACATAATGGAAGGGTGAATGTGATTGAAGCACTACACACATATAAAAAAAATGTAACGAGACACTGAATATAGGCCAGTGGTTTTCAACCTTCCTAATGCTGTGACCCTTAATATAGTTTCTCATGTTGTGGTGACCCCCATAAAATTATTTTGTTGCTGCTTCATAACTGTAATTTTGCTACCGGTATGAATCATAATGTAAATATCTGATATGCAGGATATCTATGAAAGGGTTGTTTGAACCCAAAGGGGTCATGACCCACAGGTTGAGAGCCACCGATATATGCTGAAGGATCTCAGCATACTGAGTCTGAGTCTGACTCCCAAGTGAGAACTTGCGACTGAGAAGTAAATGAATTACCTGACTTTGCAGCCTCTCACGAAGGGTTGGCTCCCTTGAAGAGGTTGAAGTGTGGGCTTTGGAAGGAAGGGACTGAGTACTCTGAAACAGGATGGTTGAATGCATGTCTTCTCAGCCTCAGGTGTGTGTGTTCAACACTGTTTGGAAACATGCTTGAGAACTGAGCACCGGTTTTATCAAGCGGTAGAAACACCTACTCCAAATGAACACCCAGGGCGTGAGAGATCTGAAGTAAGATGGATATGAAGATACGGATTGTAGTGTTCCAAGCAAATGTTCTTGTTCATGGAATCTCTCTCAAGTCATGATCACCACCAACACTTGAATAAAAAGACACAGGACGTCCGAAGCTGTTTACAATCTATTGATTAAGCTGTGCTTCCCCCCACACACACTTCCCTTCCTTCCCTCTCACTTTTTGGTGTTGCTGTTTTTCTTTCTTGTCCTCTGTCTTCATTTTGCCAGCCTGAAATTAGGAGCTAGGAGCAGGATATAAAGTATATGACCGACAGCCTCTAAATCACAGTTCAGAATCCCAGGCGGTACAGCGAAGGTGTGGGAAGAAGATATGCCAAGGTTAGCTATCTCCATGATTTCAATGATACCTAGAGGGGGATATACACTGTGTGTTGAGTAGCATTCACTAGAACAAATAACTGGGATAAATCATCCGATGAAGAAAAAAGGTTTATTTTTGGCTCACAGTCCAGGAACGTTTGGTCCAATTGCTTTGGGTCTGTAGCAGGCAGCACACTCTGATGGGAGGATATAGTGGAACATTCGTGTTCACCTCTCAGACATTGAAGGAGGTGGGGCGGGGGGGGGGGGAGAGAAAGAGGCATGCACCAGAGTTCCACAGTCCTCCTTTGAGAACGTGCCTCCCTTCCTCAGCGACCCAAAGCATCCCACTAGATCCTACCTCTTAAAGCTCTCCCTCCTCTTCCTGGTGGTGCCAAGCTGGGAACTAACCCTAAGGCAGACGCAAGCTATATAAGCTTTCACTCGAGTGGCCAATTCTCCTGAAATAAAAGATTTTCTCCATGATTGAAAGCCACTTTCCTCAGACCTTTTGTTTTAGAGGTGGAGAGGTAACTCGATAGAGTGATTGCCTAGTATGTTGGAGGCCCTGAGTTCCATGCCCAGCACCAAGGTGGTGCTCATGGGTCCAGGCTGATGATCAGAAATGCAGTCTCATCTTCAGCGACATAGGGAGTTAGTTAGAGGCCAGATTAAGATACATAAGATCCTGTATTAAAATATTTTTATAATTGGATTTTTTTTTCTTATTGACGTGAGGAAAAAAATCTAGGTCAATCCTTGAAGTGTGAAAAATGCTCAGTAAATGGCTACCACCATTTGCCTAGTACTCCGACAAAACTGCCATTCAGCAATTGCATACTTTTGCCACAGGAGGGCACTAGCTAGAATTTTATTCAGGTGAATTTAGTCAATTTACCATTTATTTTTAATCCCACAAAACCCTATTGCTATTTCAGCTTAGCTAAATTAACCATACACCTTCATTTAAAAAAATTAAACTTTGCTGAGTGCACATGAGTGTACACTGTGTGCATTTGGAAGTCAGAGGACATTTTCTGAGAGTTAGTTTGTTCCTCTCACCATAGATTCTGGGTTCTGGGGATCAAACTCTAGGAATCAGATTTGGGCAGCAGGTTCTTTTTTTCTTCTTTCTTTCTTTCTTCCTTTCTTTCTTTCTTTCTTTCTTTCTTTCTTTCTTTCTTTCTTTCTTTCTTTCTTTCTTTCTTTCTTTCTTTCTTTCTTTCTTTCTTTCTTT